TAGGCCGGGCACAGTGGCTTACAGCTGTAATCCCAGCACTTTGGGAGGCCGAAGCGGGCAGATCACAAGGTCAGGAGTTCAAGACCAGCCTGGCCAATGTAGTAGAACCCCGTCTCTATTAAAAACACAAAAACTAATCGGGCATGGTGGCACATGCCTGTTGTCCTAACTACTTGGGAAGCTGAGACAGAAGAATTGCTTGAACTCGGAAGGCGGAGGTTACAGTGAGCCAAGATCGCACCGCTGCAGTCCAGCCTAGGTGACAGAGCAAGACTCCTTCTCAAAATAATATAAAAGAATCAGAATCTAGTAAACCAGAATTAGAAGAGGGATTCTATTAACAAGATCCATGAAGAATCCAGATACAAATGTTAGCTAATATTTATTTACTGTTCTTGTTTACTTGTCTTCTCTCTTTAGATTAGAAGGACTATCAGGGCAGAAATTTTGATCATTTGTCCACCACTCTATCCGCAGCCTGGAACAATATCTGATACAGAGTAGATTTTGCTCTGTAAATACTTATACATTTATCAAATATATAAACATAAATATTAAACAATGAATGAATTTAGCATATTGATGTTAGTCCTCTAAATGAAGTAGACAGGCATTGTCTCAGGGAAGGAAGGGATTGGGTAGAGGAAACACTACTAAGGTGTATTCTCAGTATTTATCTGAGAGGCTCAGGCTTGGAGCTGCACGCTGTCTTGTCAAAACTTGTACTGTAAACATAATCTAACAAAGGTAATAAGTAGTTCCTTGGTGAACAGTAAAAGTCATCCTAGAATAAGCTGAGACGACGTGTTACAGACTGCTGACAGTGTTTAAACAATTTAAACATTCTTTAAGGTTTTACACTGAGAAAATTTTAGAGCTGAAGCAATCTGGGCCGTAAAGAATATTGATTAGTTTATCTAGACAACGGCAATCCTCCACTTCATTTCAGTGTTATTTATAGGAAAGGCTATTGACTGTATTATATTATGAAAGCTAAAGTTGTCACAAAGCAATGCAGAAAGTGTCACAAAGACAATTTGCATTATTATTAACCCAATACACTATCACGTTGAGGAAACACCCATTTTCCCCTAGAAGTGGAGAAAAACAGTGAGAGTTGAGATATTTTAAAATAAGTAGAGTTATTTTTAGTACACAATTTGTTAATCATCTTATCTGGAATACTGAACTAAATATCTTCCTGGTTTTCTCTATTATAGTTTCCTGATCATCATAAAAACATCTACTACAATGTTACTTCTCATTCCAGAAATGATATGATTTATTAGAAAACACTAGCAAAAAGGCACTCATTCAGATCAAATAAACTAAAGTTTAACCAACCCACTACTTTTTTGCCTTAACATTGCTGTCTACCTTGGGTGAAAATATGTGTTTTCTGAAAGGTTAAAGTACATGAGAGGATGGCTTAATGATATGTATTTCTATTTTCCATCTTTTCATTTGATGAGATTAAGTATTAAATGAAAAGAATGATGCTTACCATCTGAAATGTAGTTATTCGTAAACAAGTAATACAATTTAAAATAGAGCTTCAACATTTATTTTCTGTGGCAATTAAATGGCTGTTTTTCAGTTACTGCATCCATCAAACAATAACCAAGACACAGTGACTGTATTATAGCAGGGAGTTAACCCTGCTCTTTCAGGCTTCCGGGCCAAAAGATTGAGCAAAATGGTCACCAGCACTGCATATGGGGACACAGGGAAGGACATAGGATGACCATCAGAAGACAGCTGCCAAAAAGATCCAGGACAAGCACAAACTGAAAGGCAGCTTCCTGGAGTCCACAGTCCCTGACAGTAGAATCTGGACTAGCAAGAGACAGCATGGAAAGGTAAAAAGACCTTAATCTGAATTCCAGCTCAGTGACCTTTACTCTGTTAGACAGGTGACTGGGCCTCTGAACTTCAGACTCTTTCTGTAAAATGGTGCTATAACCCCGAACTTAGGATTCCTGTGAGGGTTAAGTAAGATAATGGAGTGAAGGCCCTGGCACAGGACCTGGGACATACTAGCAGCTCAGCAGGGAGAGTCTTCATTATTATTACTATGGGAGTGGTACTGACCTTGAGGGATCAACCACAGTGGCTGTGATTTAAAGGTGCCATTTGTTGTCCAAAGTGTAGGCACAGTATGTGTTTTAGCACACGTTTGCCACGTGCTGCATATGCAATAATTATGGTCTAATATTACCATTGTGTTGATGTGCATGGCCATGTAATGGTAAAGATCCAGAGGTTAACAATGCCTTACATTCTTGTTTGTTTTTCTTTTTCTGTTTTTGTTTTTATTTTTATTTTCTGCTTAACATTCTTGAAAGCAGCCTCGAGCTACCAAGTCCAATGCCATGGCAAGGTGCCTTTGTCTAGTAGGTTATGCAACAGTTCAGCCATATTTGTATTTTTGTGAAAGAAAAATATGGTAGAAGTTGAGCAGTTCTCCCCTCCAGAAAGCTGAAGTTGTTTCTTCCCTTAGGAACAGGACTATCAGGGTAGTGTGGACCTAACCTTAGAGCGGAACTCAGCAGCAGCAACAAAATCGAAAAAGGGACCTTGAATGCTACTCTTAACATTTCTCTTTCCTTATTTAGGCACCTAATGTAGCATGCATCATCTCCTTAAGTCTTTCCATGAATTTATCCATTATTAAAGCCTGCAGCAGAACCTTCTCAAAGTACAGAACAATTACATCTGGATTTCTAGAAAGCAGGGTTCCCAGTAAAGCTCAGAAAATTTCAGAGACATCAGAAAATCTGACACTTAAGATACGTAATTTGTAAGGTGCTGGTAGGAAGACTGGACAGCATGCCATGATCTGCTGACCACTTTCAGGCAAAGTCAGAATTCTCAAACAGAACTTTATCATTTTAATCCCATTTTACCTCCATCAAAAACAATGAAGAGCTAAATTACTTACAAAAGCTGGCTATGGGTGCCACTTTCAAACTATCGCCTAAGCATCATGTTTACTTTTTTTATTTTTTATTTGTACTTTTGAGACAGGGTCTTGCTCTGTTGTCCAGGCTGAAGTACAGTGGCATGATCAAGGCTCACTATAACCACAACCTTCTGGGCTCACGCCATCCTCTTGCCTCAGCCTCCCAAGTAGCTGGGACTACAAGACATGTATACCACCATGCCCAGCTAATTTTTTTATTTTTCACAGAGAAGAGGTCTCACTACGTTGCCCAGGCTGGTCTAGAACTCCTGGCCTCAGATGACCCTCCCACCTTGGCCTCTCAAAGGGCTGGGATTACAGATGTGAGCCACTATGCCCAGTCCAATATCAAGTTTCAGAGTGGGCACGGCTGGAAGACTAGCAGGTACGTAGTTTGAGGATGTACTTATAAATTTCCAGTTTTCCCCAGTTTTTAAAATGTACATAAAAGGAACATGAAACCGGAAGAAGAGTAAGAGAGTAGAAAAAAATAAGTGGTCTTTCAAGGACTGCATCTACTCATCAAAAGAGCCAGGCTTCAGTGATACTGATGGTGAGATACCTTACCGTAGATGTGTGTGCGTGGCCAAACACTGGAGGCCCAGCACATGTCCATTCAGAGCCCTCAGTTTCATTTCCTAGGCCATATATTGGGATAATAAAGAGCATGCACTCGGGAGGTAGGTAGACTGTTAGGAGTTTTATAGCCTTGTCAAGTCACTTTAACCTCTTTGAACTTCTGCTTTCTCATAAGTAAACTGGGATGATCATGCCTGCCTAGCAGGGTGGATGTAAGGATTTAATGAGTTCATGCATAAAAAGCCTTAAGTTGTTGTTTATTGTTAGCCTCCAGGTAAACTAAAAATCTCTCAGCCCCTGAATCTTATCAGCATGAGTCTGCTCAGATTCCAAGATAATCATCACACTCATTTGCCTCCCAGTTGGAGTGGAGAGTGAATTTACATGACTGTTTGATGAGTAGCTGAGTGCAAAGCCTTTGGTCTCTCTCCCTACATGAAATGTGAGAATATAGGTAAAAGTGCTTAATAAATGTTAGCTGCTATTATTCTTACTGTTGTTATTACTTACTAGTCCATGGAGACTCTATGCAGTGCAGAAAAAATGAGGAAGCAAAGGGGTTTTTCCTTTCTGATCAGGGTCTGTTGTAGCCAGAGTTCCTAAATACTTTTGTGAAATTTTTTATACTTTCTTCATTCCTCCCTTGACCTCTGAACCCACAGTTTCTCTAAAGACTACTGATTTTCAAGTCCAACAGAGCTTAAAGGCAAAAAGAAAAGAACAAAAGGAAGTAGGCTGCAATGTCAGGTGGGAAATTTGATTTCTCAAGGCATGTTTCCAGGCTCCAGCCACTCCATGTTTGGCTTCAGTGAGAAAGAAAAACACTGACAACAGCAGCAGATACCAGTGGCTACAGTTTAAACAATCTCTTGTTTAAACAGTAGGAAACTGCACAAAGGAGCTAGACTCCCCAGGAGTGAAGGCCAGGTACAGAGGAAATAAAGTATTCCAAGAAATGCCAGGTAAAAATCAGGATGAATAACCAGTTCAAAGGCTAAAGAAGTGGCCTCAAACTCTTGTGTTCCTTGGGGCTCCAGAGTTGCTTCCTAGGTCACTCAGGGATTGCCTGCAGCTGGTGGAGGGGGGTATGCATGTATGGGTATGTGAACATATCTATTGCAGGCACCTGCTACCCCCACCCCTGTGCCCTTCAAATGCATTAGGAGGGAAGCCAGAGCCTCCCATTCCTACTCTCTGGGAGTGAGGGTAGCTTGTGAGGGCCACTGAGAGTGACAGGGAGGAAGGCCAAGCTGAGTCATAATATCCTGTAGTGATTCCAGGAGTCTTTAGTGATCTTTTCAAAAGAAAAAGAAAACAAGAAAAGAAAGGCAAACTACTATTTTAAAGTCAAGAGCCTATTTTTACAATTGCTTTGAAAGAAAAATAAAACAAACCAAATGTTTTCTCAAAAAAAAAAAATATTTCCCTATCAGTCACTTGTGTGAAAAGGCAGCCTTACCTTGACATATTGAACGAGACGCTCACAGACATTCACTTTATAAGTCTCGATGCCCAGCTCCTTAGACAAGCGTAATATTCTGTTCTGAGTTGGCCCCACATAGGCCCCCCCAACATCTACGTAATCAACTTGTTCGTTCTGCAAAAGGAGAAAAATTGGTCAGAGGACTTTAGTTAAAACTTGGAAAACTATGTCTTGTAAAAACTAACCCCATTTATTTTTTTAAAAGTTAATTGTGCCTTACATCTCCCCTATAAAGAGCAACTGAAAATAGCAATCTTTTCTCCTCCACTCAAGAACTGGGGCACAATCCTGTCTAATACTCATCACTAAGCACCATCCTTTTGAAAAGCTATTGGTAAGGCAAATTCAGCGATACAATGCGTAAAAGAGAAAGAACACTGCAGTATATTCTGCCAGTTTAGGTCCTTTACAAAACAGTTAAATTATTATGTATGCTTTTCTCTGGTGTTATTGCTGGAGGAGCCATCCAAAGCCTAATTCCCTAATTTTTACCAGATGAAATCTTATATCAGTCCACATTGATGGCTCTAGATGTTATTTTAAAACACTTTCAGGAAAGAATGCATCATAAGGAAAGAATACAAAAAGATATACAAAGATTCATATATTACTAAATTACTTACAAATATGCAAACCCTCTCTCATAAACTAAAATTGTTTACTTCCTCCCTCATAAATACAGTTCTCCATGCTTTTCATCTATTTTTATTAATTGGCATATCCTAATGATTTAATCAATGAATTGCATATTGGTGAGCTACAACCCCTCTGTGTTTTTGTAATCACTTAAGGGTCTGTTTCTATTTTGTTATGTATATCAGTTCTCAACCATGTTGTCATGCCTTTTCTCTTTGTTTGCCTGATTATTTTTTATTGCATGCCACTCACTAAACTTGAAAGCACGTAGAATCATTTGAATCCTAGGGGGTTGATATCTTTCTCAGAGAGGATTTATGTTGGCTTCTGCCCAGAGCCTGGGACCCACACAGTACTAGATAACTTAATTCCATTTTCAGTACCTGAGAGGATTTGAAGCTGGGCTGAAATGCACATTTGGCCTAGTTTTCTTGCCTTTCACCCTTGCTCCTTACATGCTGCCCAACCCAAAGCATAAGGAGTTGACCAACACTCCTCCACAAATAAGTACACACTTCATGGGGCTCGGGACTTGACCTGTCACCCTAGCTTTGCACTAGGTGCACAGCACTGCTCAGTTTTCAGAAGCTTTTTCAGTGGTCAGCAAATCCCCCTGCCACCAAGGGAAAAGTAGGTTAATACTTTCCAGATGTTGCCTGAGTGATTCTTCACTATCTTGTTAGCTCACTCATTCTCTAATGCTTTAAGTGTGTGTGTGTGTGTGTGTGTGTGTGTGTGTGTGTGTGTGTGTCTACAGAGCAACTTGTCTGTCTAGTTATCTTTGTATTTTGTTATAATTTACCTAATCTGTTATTTCCAGAAAATTGTCTAGTATTATTCAACATTTCCTTCCTGAAACTACCCAACCTGATATTATCTTTCTATTGGAGGATATGCTTTGCTAACGTTTTGTTTAGAATTTTTATATCTATGTTTATAAGCAATATTGAGACTGGCCTGTGATTCTCCTTTCTTCTACTGCCTTGTCTGTTTTTCGCATTCGAGTACTGCTAATCTCCTTGGTTAGTGATAATATTTTCTTCTATTCTCTAGAAGGATTTGTATGTAAATAAAGTGATCCATTCTTTGATCATTAGGTAGAACACACCCGTAGAACCATCTACGCTTGGTGATTTTTTTGAGGTAAAATCTTAAACTACATGTTTAATTCATTTTTAGGTTAAAGCACTAATCATCATCTTTTCTATTGCCAGACTAAAGCAGTGTTAATTTTGGTGAATTATATTTTTCTGATAATATATATATTTCATGTATGTTTCAAAACTGTTGGTTTAATGTTCATGGCATCCTCTTTTCATTTAATTATTCTTTATTGCATCAGTAATTATATCTTCATCTTCATCTCTCTCTCTCTCTCTTTTTTTTGTTTTTTGAGACAGGGTCTTACTCTATCACCCAGGCTGGAGTACGATGGCATGAATATGGCTCACTGCAGCCTCAACTTCCCTGGGCTCTAGCAATTCTCCCACCTCAGCCTCCCGAGTAGCTGGGACCACAGGTGTGTGCCACCACACCCAGCTAATTTTTGTAGTTTTTGTAGAGTCAGGGTTTTGCCATATTGCCTAGACTGATCTCTAACTCCTGAGCTCAAGCGATGTACCTGTCTCAGCCTCCCAAAGTGCTGGGATTACAGGCATGAGCCCCCCATCTGGCTCTCATCTCTGATTTACTTGGGGGTGTTTCATTTTTCTTTTTCTGGAAAAATCTTACCAGACACTTCTTGTCTATCTTTAATAGGTATCTTCAAATAATCAACTTTTATTTTATTGATACTCTTTGTTGTGTGTTTATTTTCTGTATCATTGATTTGCGCCCTTTCACCCCTTCTTTGGATTTATTTTGCTCTTAATTTTCTAACTCTTTGTATGCTTAGCTTATTCATATATAGCTCTTTTTCTTTTCTAATGGAACAATTTAGACTATACATCTTCTAAGTATTGCTTTAGCTTCAACCACAACTTTATCTTTTCCATTATTTTGCAGGTCTAAGTATTGTCACACAGAAAAGAAAAACAAAAGCTTATCTTTATTTATGTTTTCCATCTGAATTTACACTACCCAGATGATATGAAAAACCTTGAGCAGAAAATTTAAAGTGTAAAGGAGGGTGATAGAAGTAGATTCAAATCCTTTTCCCCTAGGCCTCAAATAATTTACCACAGATAAAGTTCCATGGAAAATTAGCAACCCACAGCCAAAAGTTACAAACATACGTGGCAAACAAGGCACCAAAAGAAAATAGGCAGAAAAAATTCTCCAGAAAGATTTTGTAATAGTTGAAAAGAAGTGATTAAAACTAGGAGCAGGGGAAAACAAACTGAAAATATCAGGTCGATTAAAAAATAACTGCTAGTAATAAAAATGTACTAATTAAAAATTTTAAAACTCTGTGAATGGATTAAACAGTATATTCGACCATTCAAGAGTGAGTAGGCTGGGCATGGTGGCTCATGCCTGCCATCCCAGCACTTTGGGAGGCCAAGGCAGGCAGATCATGAGGTCAGGAGTTCGAGACCAGCCTGGCCAACATGGTGAAACCCCGTCTAAATACAAAAAAATTAGCCAGGTGTGGTGGTGCACGTCTGTAATCCCAGCTACTCAGGAGGCTGAGGCGGGAGAATCGCTGAAACCCTGGAACAAGGTTGTGGTGGGGCGAGATCGTACCACTGCTCTCCAGCCTGGATGACAGCGTAAGACTCTGTCTTAAAAAACAACAACAACAAAAACGCCTAGCAATATGGATTTAAGTCTGTAACACAGAAGTCTGCTGATATGTTCAAGAAATAGCAAGAAGGCCAAAGCGGATGGAACAACAAGAGCAAGGAAAATAACTGAAGATGAAGTTACAGAGGTTATTGGCAGGGCAGGTCACCTAAAACCTCACAGGACATTGTAAGGACATAGGCTTTGACTGTCTGTGAGAAGGGGAGCCTTTGGAAGGTTTTGAGCAGGGAAATGCTAAAATCTGACTTGCATTTGAAAGGCTCACTCTCACTGATGCTTTAAAAAAGAATAGAATATAGGGGGCAGGAGTAAAAGCAGGGATATCAGGAGCCTACTGCAGTCATCTGGCTTAGAGATAATTGTGGCTCCCGCCAGGGGATGGCAGTGGAATTGGTGGGAAGCACTGAATTCTGGATATGTTTTGAAGGCAGGGCCAACAGAATTTCCTGACAGAACAAATGAGGGTCTGGCAGTGCTGAGCATGACTCTGAGTTTTCTGAAAGTTGCCATCCTCTAACATGAGGAAGGCAGCTGGAGGAGCAGCCTTGAGGAAGATCAGAAGTCTAGTGTTAGATGTGTTATGTTTGAGATGTCTATGCAACATCCAGGAGTTCTGCAAATGTCTAACTTCCATGTCAGATTAGCACAGCATATTGTATTCAGCATCTTACTTATTTCAATGACGAGTTAGGGTTTCTGTTCTGCCATGATACCAGAAATTAAGTGCCTCTTCGACCTCTTTAATCTGTCCTCATATAATGTTTATTCTCTCTTTTATTAACCATCAGTGCTTTCCTCCAAATGTTTTCTAGTCTCCAACATCCATTTTAAGATATAAAGAACAAAACTGGAATCAAGACTCCAATAAATTTCTGGGCTTTAACAAAGACAGCAAGAGGACTCCTGGGAGTTTCCAAACATGATGTCTGTAGAATGCTGACACTATATTTAAAGCAAATAATCTTAAATGAAGCAGTAAAAAGAGAGGGGCATTTTGTAGAATGTTGCTTTATGAAGTAAAAACATTCTAAATCAGGTGCCTCAAATTCAGCATGAAGACACCAGAAGTGTAACACTGTATTCTATACTATGTTGCATCTCAGTGTTTAGGGTCTTGATTTAGATCTCACTACTCAAACTTTGAAGAAGCCACAAACATGCAACAATATTGGCAAACAAATACACCAACCCTGTGGCAGCCCTGCAGACATTTCAATTTTATTAATTTCATTCTGAAGAATCATGGATGAATCACATTAGGAAAAACTGGGAAGTTCTGAACTAATGGAAGATCCATCTGAACGACTTGCCGGGTAATACCAAATTTGACATTCTGGTGCTCAGAGATCCACAGTAGCTTTTATGGCATCTCCTTCCAAAATTATCCTAGCTGATTATGTTATTAGAAGCAATTCTAAAAATATTTGCTTCAGTTTCTTGTTAAATACGATTTTCCTGCCTGTTTCCTTTTTTAAATTTTTTAAATTTTTGAATCAGTGTTTCACTCCTGTCACCCAAACTGGAGTGCAATGGTGTAATCTTGGCTCACTGCAACCTCTGCCTCTCCAGCTAAAGTGATTCTCCTGCCTCAACCTCCCAAGTAGCTGGGACTACAGGTATACACCACTGCACATGGCTAATTTTTATATTTTTAGTAGAGATGGGGTTTCACCATGTTGCCCAGGCTGGCTTTGAACTCCTGAGCTCAAGTAATCCACCTGCTTTGGCCTCCCAAAGTCCTGGGATTACAGGCGTGAGCCACCATGCCCGACTTCCATGTCTATTTCTTAAAACCCTCTTTTTCTTTTTCTCATCATTTGGAGCATAAATGCTAAGTCCTAATTTCTAAGCATTTCAGAGATTCCTTTCTCACATTCCTAAGGGGAGTGTAATATAATGCTGAATAGACAATAATGGTTCCTGTGTGGTGCTGACATATACAAATGACACAGCATGGCAAAGAAACTGAGGCCAATAACACAGATGGGGACAAGCACGTTGGAATTCTCATTTCCCTTATACAAAGAAAGTTCTTAACTGAAAATCCACAACATGACTGATGCTCCTGTTTAATAACCAAAAGGTTTTAGAGATAAGAAAAATAGGGCTAAGGGACAAATGAATAACTATCTCCAAAATGAAGGAATATTTTTCAGAAAATGACAGAAGAATCATATCTAACAAAGGCATACAGGCAGAAGATGCAATTCTTGTTTTGCACTATAACACATTGCCTTAAATTAGAATTTGAAGATGGAAGGGAGTTTCTTCAAGAACATTTAGATTGTATCTTATTACCCAGATGAGAAAACTGAGACGTAAAGTGCTAATAGGACTTATCCAAGCCATCATGTCAAGTCAGCACAGAGGTTAGAATCCCAGTCCCCTCACTCCCGGACCAATAGCTTCCCAGTGGACTACATCTAAGGGAGTACTCAGAAAATTTAATCTGGATTGGCATTAATTTAAGGCAAGCAAGCAAACAAATGCCACAGAGTAGCACTTCTGTAGTGTTCCCTGGAGATGTTGTCAAAATGCAGGTCCAGATTCAGCAGGTCTGAGATAGGGCCTGCGATTCTGCATTTCTATCAAAATCCCTGTTGATTCAGGCGCTACTAACCGACAGATGACACTTTGAATGGAAAGGCTGTACAGCACCCTTAGAGCTGAGCAAAGCAGAATAGGCCTAGATACATCCCTGCATCTAAAAAGGTAGGCAGCAAATGACAGAAGGGTAGCATTGCACAGTGTGGCTGAAATCACTGCTATAATATCCTAGTTCAAATGTTGTCTGTATGCTATACCAATATTCATTGATATTCCCTCTCACATGCCTGCTTCTATTATGTAGCCTAGCATTGTGAAATACTTGCTTTCCCAGGATCCCTGACAGCTGAAGGTAGCCATGGGACCCAACTCTGGCCAATGAAACTAAAGTATATGTCTGCTGGGGTCTCTTAGCAAAGGAAAAGCTTTGTTGCAGACAAGGCTGGTGCCACCCTCTCTTTCACTCTTCTTTCAGCTTTGAATAAGAACTTGATGCTTAGAATTTCAGCATCCATCATGTTACCACAAGACAATAAGCCAACATGCAAAGAATATTAGAGCAGGGCCAGGCACAGTGGCTCACGCCTGTGATCCCAGCACTTTGGGAGGCTGAGGCGGGTAGATCACCTGAAGTCAGGAGTTTGCGACCAGCCTGGCCAACATGGTGAAATCCCGTCTCTACTGAAAATACAAAAATTAGCTGGGCATGGTGGCAGGCACTTGTAATTCCAGCTACTCGGGAGGCTGACGCAGGAGAATTGCTTGAATCTAGGAGGCGGAGGTTGCAGAGAGCCAAGATCGCACCATTGCACTCCAGCCTGGGCCACAAGAACAAAACACTGTCTCAAAGAAACAAACAACAAACAAACAAAAAAAAAAGAATATCAGAGCAGAAAGACAGCAAGAGCCTATTGATAATAAAGCTGAACCCATGCACCAGCCTGGACTATCCACCACCAGACTCCTGTGAAATAACCAAATGTTTGCATTGCTTATGCCATTCTGTTATTAAACTAACTAAAGCATCTTCTAGTTGGATAGATGATACTTCTCTTTCCAGTCACTTCAACAGTCTGGCTTTGTCTTTACTGCCAGTCCCTAGACTTTAACACTCTATTTGTGTATTCTAGCAAAAAGGCTGATTGATGACCTTCTAACTGTCAAATATGAGGGCTGGTTTTTTGTTTTTGTTTTTTGCCTTCATACTGTGTCAGCTGACTTCTGAGCATCCCTTCCTCTTTGGTCCACCGACTTACCTATTGCTGCTCTACTCTGGTCCTCCTCTTCTGCCTCTACTGTGTCTCTCTGGCTCTTCTCCCTTTCTCCCCCACTTTTATGTGTGGAAACTTCCATCTTTGCCCCTGTTTCCTTCCCACTTTTCATTATCTCCCTGTGTACTTTCATCAGCACCCACAGATTCAACCAGCTGCAACCATTCCCTTAGTAGTAGTACAACTTAAATAAAGGGACAACTTAATAGCTATCTCCAAAATGAAGGAATATTATTCAGAAAATGACAGAAGAATCATATCTAATAAGGCATACAGGCAGAAAATGCAACTCTTGTTTTGCACTATAACATGTAGCATGCATTTTTTTCCAGAATGGTGATGTAAGCCCAAGTATAAAAAAGGCAGCGATGTAGCAAGAACTGGGCTTCTTTCTTATATCTAGCCAGATCTGGCCTGAGGAGTGTCTCTGGCAGCAGCATACTTCTTAGGGAACAAGGGTTAAGGGAAAAGTTATGCAAAAACATACTATATTTGTTCCTGCTTAGTGCAGCCACCACACTTCTATTAAGTTGTGTGTCATTGGATAAATAAGGAATCTAAGTGTGCGTGTGTGTGTGTGTGTGTGTGTGTTGTGGGTGTACAGTCACTTCCAGTACAGCCCAACTATTACGTCTGTAGTATGGAAATTATGACATTGTATTGAAGGTATTTGCTCATGTTTATTGAATTCACTCAACTGAAAGTCAGAAGCTGCCAGTCTTAGTGAGTACTTGTTAAAGAGAATGGACACTTATTTGATGGAGTACTTTAGGGATATGGAGGACAAATGGCTTCGCTGCATGAACTCTTGAGATATCCTCTAGCCCTATGATTTCCAATGGTGCCACTTGTAGTTTGAGTGAGTTATTACATGTAAGTATTAAAATCACTTACCCTCACAGTGTGTGTTCTTCCACCAACCCTGTCCCGAGCTTCTAAGACCAAAACGTTAACTCCATATTCATTTAAGAGTTTGGCAGCAGAAAGACCTAAAGGAAAAACAAAAGAGAGCAACATAACATCCAAATGCTTAAAATCCAAGGTTTAACCAGGTCTACACATCAAATAAATGCAGGGTATCATAAACAATCCAATGATTTTATTGTCTTTCTAATAAATTCTGACCACACTGGTGATTAAATGAGTCGCCAATTTTATTATCGATCATAAGAGATTCAAAAATGACTAATTTAGTCATCTTGCATTTCAGGTTGGTCAACAGAAACAAAATGTAATGGTTTTAAAAAGATATATCTTGTTTTCTAGTGATAATCATATATTTAGAGAATTTTTGAGCCTCTAAATCAATTCCTATTATTTTTCTCTTCCAGAAATCCTGATAGTATTAACAGAAGAGAATATTTTTTTTGAAAACTTTCTCTAGCTACACCAGGTCTCAGTATATCTATGCTTCGCTTTTCTTAACTTAAAAATCCTGTATAATCATGTCCTGTGATTTATATTTCAATTACATGCTTGCAGATCTTGTTTACTTCACTAGTTTCTGAGTTACCATAACATAGAAACCATGCTTCATACTTTTTTCATTAGCTCAAACAAAGCTGAGAACAGGTTTTCACCTGTGATTAGAAGCCTTCAGGGAAGATAAAATATTTTTTAAACCCAACATAGTAATATCAGAAAAATTAAGAAAGTGTTGCAGATTAACATTATATCAAGGGCAAATGCTACAAGCATGATTTATCACTGATGTTGACCTTGATCTGATCACCTGGCTGAAGTAGCATTTGTCAGGCTTCTCCACTATAGTTATTCTTTTTCCCATCTTAACATACTGCACTCTTTGGAAGAAAGTGTGGGCATAGCCCACACTTAAGGAGTGGGAAGTATGTTCTAGCTTTTTGAGGGTGGAGTATCTATACAAATTATTTGGAATTCTGCACTGGAGATGTGTCTCTTCTCCTCACTTATTAATTTATTCAATCATTTACTTATTAATATATCAATATAGACTCCCAGATATTTGTTTTATATATAATCCAATACTATGTCATTAATTTTGTTGCTCAAATTCTTCCAGCTATGGTTATTGGGAGTTATTTTAGTTGGCTCCTATACCCCTTTGACACGCCCCCATCATTTTGTGTGTGTGTCTTTGAGCACTTCCGTACTTTCTGATACTTTACAATGCTCCAGACTTATCTTTCTCTGCGACAGCCTTAAAATCAGGCATTTCTTCAATGAACCTTGGTCCCTTTTACTGGAGAACAGTATTAGAAACCAAGATCTGGGTTCTAGGTGTGCTTATTGCTACTGGGGTGTCATTGCTTCTAAGACCTCTCAGCTCACAGAGTAAAGAAATATATTGTGCATACACTTATTTTTAAATCTACGTTCATTTTTGTAATTCAAATTAGGTCTTAGTTCCTAGTTAACTTTATACTTCTCATTATAAAGAAATGAAGAAGATTAGAGAGATAAACATAACATAGGGGGAAAATGCTAGTTATATTAGGGTAGAGAGAAATAAGAATGGCACCAGAGACAAGATTAGTAAAATGATACAAATAATACCTACATATGTATACAAGTGGTTGAGGAGAGGAACTATTCTGATTTTAAAACCCAGTGATTTGATAGTTCATTTCTAATGGTATATATCCTAAAGATAAAAAGAACTGTACATTTTTTTCAATAATAATTTAACTAGTCCTAGTATTAGCATTGTTAACCCAAAGCTATTACATTTGTAGTATGCGATAAAACAAGTGAGTAATCAGGCTGATGTCGTTGAGAAGCAGGTTTTTTAATATGGCAATAAATAAAATCAGATGTAAAAATGATGAGATGAAGCAATAACCCTGTAGTCTTAGATATGAATTGGAATTATAAGCATGATCTCTGGATATACTCTATCTTTACAAAAACATTTCTTAGTTTTGCCCAGTGAAAAGGTCTAGAAAAAATAACCTACCAAGTAGCAATGAACGCTCCCAACACCTAGACTGTTGTTTCTAAAACATCAATTCCCACTACAATAAACTGTGGCTTATAACCTAGTGAGATCTGGGGCAGGAAATGTACAAGATGAGCTGCAACATTAAGTCATGCCAGAAAGCAAGGAGACTGTCAGAGACTACTAGGATTATGTCAAAAAGACTCAGGAGCTGACCTATATAAACTCCTACTGGCCAAAGATGAAATAATTTGAGTGCTAAAGATAATAACTGCAATGGCTTAAATCCAAGAGCTCATAATAATACTAAACAAACACAAAAACTCTCATTTTTCACCTTTGGAAAATGCCAAGGGACCAACTTATCATTTTGAAAAATGATAAGCAAAAGAAAAAAGCTAGTATTTATCTTACCTTTCCTATTTGTGCTGAACTTCAAAACAACCAAATAGCTAATGAGGGAAAGTTTCTCTGTATAAAAGCATGCTAGTTAGTAAGTGAAGACAGAAACAATTTAGATGTCAGCATTTTGCAATCCCTAATGAATTAATGGATCTAGCATAATGATTATCAAGCTGCTAACACACACAGAAAAAGAGATGAGATAGATGTTATCTGCCTCTTGATGGAAGCACACACCATCACCTATGAAGTATACACGTGCCATGGTGGTTTGCTGCATCTATCCCCCTACCATCATCTACATTAGGTATTTCTCCTAATGCTATTCCGCCTCAATCCCCCCACCCCTGCTATCCCTCCCCTAGTCCCCCACCATTTGACAGGCCTTGTTGTGTGATGTTCTCCTCCCTGTGTCCATATGTTCTCATTGTTCAACACCCAGTTATGAGTGAGAACCTGTGGAGAAACTGGCCCTCGCCACACTGCCTAAGGGGATGGAGCAGTGGGGAACTTTGAACAACAGTGGTGGGGCCTGTAGCAGTTGCGCGCATAAGGGGACCTCTCAGCGGCATCCTACAGATCCATTTCATATGCCTTTCCTTGTTGCCTCTCACAACCATTCCTTGGAGTAGATTTCTTTATCTTCATACTCCAAGTGCCTGATATGACCACAACAAAGTCTTCTGAAAAGCGCAGGATTTTACTTCTCACACTCTAACCTAGAGTCTTAATAAAATTGAATCTAGTATGTAACTCCAAACAAGTTTTGTGAATGGGTTTCAGTGCCAATAATAAATCAACATTTCTCAGGAAACTAAAAGGGGAGGGGCGAGCAGGGCTCTCTGAGCCAATATAATGACTCCACCAGTGACAAAGGTCATTTTGCATTTAAGAACATAACCAAATAAAATTTAAAAGCTGGTGAAAGCAGTTGTTTCTACGTTGCAGAAAATGATTAGCCCTATCACAGCAAGGAGAGTTTAAACTCTTAGTTTAAGAATAAGAAATATGTTTAAAATATTTAAAAAGGATTTCAGAGAAATGGTTTCTAAAAGGCCTTAGAATTTGAAGGGTGAAGATTTATGTAGGAAAATCTACTATATTAAGCATATTTCTTCTACGATGATGAATAAATGAGTGCTAATGTTTCAGTTTGCATGTTTACTGGGAAGGAGACCCTGTTAAGAAACTTCCATGATAACTTACAGCTTAAAAAATATACAATATGAAAATAAAAGTATGATGCTGTTAGGAAAATATTTTTGAATGCTTAGTAAGTCAAAGTACAGGCAAACACTTACAGCTCAGAAATCTTTTGTAATATAATAACTGTGGCTATCTGCTAATTTGAATGGAAAAACCTAAAGATTATTCCTACTTTAAGGTGTAAATCTTGGATTACAATTAACTCTTTTTTGTACTTGTCTGTCACTCACTATGCATTCTACCCTCCCTTCATCACTACAAAATTCAATGATCAGTTATAGAAAAAAAATGATATCTTAATTGTCAACCCTACAGACTAGTTTAAGGGCTTTTGACCTAATCTTTCGAAATATTTATTGAGGAGTTTTTTTTGTAAATGGGATAAAATTATTAGAAAAGATTCTTAAGTCCAAAGGCAAGTCATCAAATAAAATGTGGCTACTATAAAAATAGCTTTTGTAATCAAATATTGTTTTCACATTTTATTAGGAAAAGAAAGAAAATCTCATCTTAAATCTTTTATTTCATCTTGTTCCAAAGTAATATAAACTACTAAGCAAAAAATAAAAAGCATTATGCATTACAGCTCTCCCTTTCATTTTCCATCATTTAATGACCACATGGAATCTAGTGATAAGAAGCCTGTTTCTCACCACTCCCTACCTGCATGATAAGGGAAGGGTTTGATACAGGTATGCCAGTAAATGATTAACAACCAGTCCAGTGGTGGGGAGGAGGGACCTGTTTCACAGCATTTAGATTTCCATGCTGTATATGCACTCTCACCATGGGTTTCAAACTAGTGTGATTTCAGGCTACTAACATTATTGTCTATGAAATCAGCAAGTGTTTATGATATTCATTGGGATGTAGGAGATGTGAGGCCACCTTGGTAAAGGACCACTGGGCCAAACTCTCAAGTATCCTAATGTCAAAAGTTTGTGATTCTCTCACCCATGTTTTTGAGAGAAGAGGGTTAAGTGAACACTAGCAAAATCTACCATCTCCTATACTCAGAGCTCTCCCTCTCCCAAACCATGGCAAACAGAGCTCATTAGGAAGAAAAAAGCCCAAAACTCCTGAGCATCATGTGGTTTTCTCTGAGAGTAGAGAGGTCTCAGAAACTACATTCACAAAGAGTTTCTTTTTTTTTTTTTTTTTTTTTTTTTTTTTTTTGAGACGGAGTTTCAGTCATGTTACCCAGGCTGGAGTGCAATGGCGCGATCTCGGCTCACCGCAACCTCCGCCTCCTGGGTTCAGGCAATTCTCCTGCCTCAGCCTCCTGGGTAGCTGGGATTACAGGCACACACCACCATGCCCAGCTAATTTTTTGTATTTTTAGTAGAGACGGGGTTTCACCATGTTGACCAGGATGGTCTTGATCTCTTGACCTCGTGATCCACCCGCCTCGGCCTCCCAAAGTGCTGGGATTACAGGCTTGAGCCACCGCGCCCGGCCACAAAG